GTCTCGGAGGTAGTTCTACTCCTGCCTAGGAAGTCACAGAAGAATTAATAGTGGTATAATCATTTATTATACCAGGCGGGGAGTGTGCTGTTTCTTATGTCTAGCGGTGATTCTTTTCCGCCTCCTACAGGACATTTAAGGTACTACACTTTATTTTGCCGTTTACTTTCGGTTTCTCTCAGTGAACGCAGTCAAGAAGAACGTGCATGCAGTTCCTATGGGTTATTGATTCCATCATTTAAACCTTGGAAATATATGTCTGTAAGTGCTAAATTTTATACTAAATAGTGCTTTAAGTGTTGTGTAGATTAAAGTAAAGTGTAGATCGGGATTATTGTTATATTTTGTTATAAACAGACATGATTCGCCTTATCGGTAGCGTACTTTGTTTTAGCGTACTGCTAATTTCTCTTCTGTTTGTACATAATCTCATTTGAATATAATTTCTTGACATGTACATTACTTTAAATAACGTTACAAAAGGAACTATGTACAACATCGAACTGTAATGTTAAGATGGATGTGTATGTAAATGTGTACATAATGTTCATACATATTTTTTCTTGTTTGTAGTTTTACATAAAAGAATTGAGAAGAACAATCACCAGTAAAGTCACTAAAGTTATGAAAACTGCTTTCTGGAGTTCTTTTCTGAAAGTGTACGCTATCTGTTAAGCCTTTGCTCAAGCTACGCAACTGGTCAGAACAGAATATCTTCATTTTTAATTTTACTATCTGTGTACTGTTGTTGTCTCAGCGTCTGCACTATAAGCTTTTTCTGTCACCAAAACAAATTCCTTGTGTGTGCAATGGCAATAAATCTCTTTCTGATTCTGACAAATAGTACTTATTCATATATCCTTTACACAAAGAAAGAAGCTCAAAGAGTGGTTCAAATAAATATAATTTGAAACCGTATGGGACAGACAATGGTTCTACACAGGGCCGTCGCTAGCGGGGGGGCAAAAGGTGGTGACATTTCTAGGGGCCCCGGGCTTGAAGGGTCCCTCCTTCCGGAACGTGTTTTCAAGGGGGCCCACAGCAACAACCTGCATTGGGCCCCGGATACCCCAGCCAAGAGCCTTGTTCAAGAGGCATTGTATAGGCTAAGGGACACATATATTCATTTTTCGTTTTTCGTACCCAACTGGATCACGAAACATTAAAGCCCAGGGCCCCCACGGGCTCTTGGTAGTCAAGGGCCCCTGGGCACTGGCCCCATTGGCCCGGTCAGTAATCCATCCCTGTGCAGGAGCTGTACGTTACCATAGAAATATCAATGGTTTGCTTGTGACTCTCACGATCAGCTCTGAACGCGCACTGAACACGCACTTTGGCCGGTACAGAAAATGTATTATTATTTTACATGTGTATGTAGAGCTTATGTAGGCTCTACAACAAAGGAATTGCTGATCTCTAGTGATGTCTAATTTGTGTAATAGATCATTTGTTAGTAAAGGGTGAGAGATCTGGCGAGCCACATGATTTTTGTCAAAGAGCCAGGTATGGCTCACGAGCCATAGGTTCCCGACCTCTGCCCTACACTAACCCTACTCCTAAACCTACCCTTATGAAAATAGTTTTTTCTCATAGAAAAAAAAATCTCCCACAAGGACAAGGATTTCAGATATTGCCTTCTTGTGGGAACATTTTGTTTGGTTCAGGGTTTACCTGAACCACGCACGCACACACGCACGCACGCACACACGCACGCACGCACGCACGCGCACACACGCACACACACACAATAGTGGTTGTCATCTAAAATAAAAATTAAAAATTCATTACATTTGGTTATCCCTGAATTGCCAACAAGTTCTTTAGAAACTATATCTATAGATGCACCAAATGATTCACTGATTAACCATTAAGATGAGTTAGATTAAATAATAGACAAATGTATTAAACTGAATGAGAAGACATGCAAATGAAAAGTTTGATAGTAAGCGCTTTATGAAAGTCAGTTACTGTGAATGAAACATTTATATAGATGAAACAGTTATTTTGTGTAGTGAAAAGGGTACTTTGTGATTGTGTGTATTGTACTAAGACAATTGAAAATACACTGAAATGTTTGAAAAACTGCACTTCTGATGATCTGTTGTGATATTAGTACTCAAGCGTTTTGAAAATGTAACAGTTGCTTGTGAAAATAGTACCAAAGCAAATAAGAAACTGTAATACTGTGAAGCTGCCTTGAAATAATCTGTACTGTATAAACACTATATTGTAAAAATAAATGTTATATGTTCCAATTTTCTTTAAGTGTTTTGAAGACATCAGACTCAAAAAGGTTTTCATATTTACAAAGCACAGTGGAAATGGTAATATTTTCTATATACTTTTGTCGGTTAAACAAAGGTTCAAGAGAATGGAGAAAGGTTCAAAATCTTGTTTCTTGTTTTTATTGCATTTGCCAAAATGTTTTTTGGAGTTTTTCAAACCTTTTTGGAAACGGAGTTTGTACATACTAAAACATCCCTGTGAGAGAAAGTGTATTTTATAATAACCTATGGTAGTTTCAGTTTAGAAATTATTCCAGTCAAAGTTGTCAGTGACAAAAACGGTTGATTATTAAAGGGTTTATTAACTGTTTATTAAAGGGTTCTTAGTGCTTCACATGAGGCATAAAGACAACTGTCATGCGGACACCATTGAAACAACTCTTTCACTTACCTCAATGTTCTCTTCATAAATAGAACTGTCCAAAAGTGTGACTTTAAAGGGAACAGTCTTGGAGCGTTTGGAGCCTTTCTGAGGGGATCTTGGGCTCTTGTTGGACGTTGTTCTGTCTGATGCATCATGCACATCTCCAGAGTCATCATGAGGCTTAATATCCTATAATCAGTATATATTATCAGTTTATATTACATTATATTTTTTTCACAACTGTTAATCACTAAAATATTTTCTTTCTTTCTTTTTTTTTTGTTGAAAAAAAAACGGTGTCAATTAGGCAGTCATGCGAGTCTACAGGAGTGACTCTTTGTCATGTCATCTGTCTTGTGGTTTTCTGGTCAAATGGTTTCCTGCATGTTGGTTGACTACACTGTCTTTGATTTGATGTACAAGTTTTCATTTTTTTTTTCAGTTTTCAAATATTAGTTGGACATTTAAAACAATTCCCTACCTCTTTTGCCATTTTACCATCTGAGTCTGACTCTGGAAAGGTAACTTCAGTACCCTTATGTTGGGGTGTCACCTCAGTCCCAGGCCCTGTCTCAGTCCTCATAGTCACCTTTCCTGAAAAGAAAAAAAAGTTATTTATTACATTGTTCTCAACGTATCAGTATGCATCCTCAAAAAAAACACTATGTATACCAGTCATGGCCTAATGGTTAGAGAGTCGGACACGTAACCCAAAGGTTGCGGGTTTGAGTCTCGTACCAGCAGGGATTGTAGGTGGGGGGAGTGAATGTACAGTGCTCTCTTCCACCTTCAATACCATGACTGAGGTACCCTTGAGCAAGGCACCGAACCCCCAACTGCTCCCCGGGCACTGGCAAAAGCATCAAAACCTGTGTAGCGTCTGGACTACTCCAACACACAATATATATTTTGT